CTAATAAAAAGTATTTAGTTAAATTTGTTGAATGCGATATGGTAAAATTTGTTTATTTTATATTTTTTAAAATGGTTCATCTTTCAAAAAGTACCTACTTAAAATTCATAATTGTTTTTTTTACCATTAATACTTGTATTAATCTCTTTAAATAACTTTAGCGTCTTCAAATGGTTGATTAATGAAGTATTAGCAAAGTAACAATCATAATTTGTTTTTGTTCTCCATGTCATATTTTGAAGATATGGGAAGCTAGAAGCTTTAACAGTAATTAAATGTACATGAGCTCTCCTAAATTTTTGATTCTTGAATCTTTAATCACAAACTATATTCTATTATTTAAGTTTTTTAAAAATTTATTCAAAATTTCAAAGATACCCATTTTCATTAGATTCTTTTAAATACTGAAAATTGAAATTCTATTTTACAACTCCTTCTTACCTTTTGAAATTGGAATTGGGACATATTTTAAGTAAGTATATTTAATCTAGACACAACTGAATGTTCTAATTCTAAATTAATTAGAACTAGTAAAATACTTAGAGCATGTGTAAATTAAGTTTTTAGATTTAACATCATAATCAATGCTAAGGTACATATTCAATTGATCAGAGATGATTTTGTGAACCAATAGTTTTAACTCATTCAAACAGAGATTATTTTTGGGACATTGAATATATGCCTTAGCATTTTCTAAAAACTCTTAATACATGTCTACTTAATAATATTTAGTGAACTAAAACAAATTTGTTAAAAAAAATAAATTGATAATTGACTTCTAAAGTATTTTCGATAGAAATATATTTTAAGATTAAGTGAGTCTATAAGGTACTTTCTATCAGATGTATTACTTCATTAGAATGATTGATGGTAATACGAAAAAAGACTTTTTGGTTTAATTTCTTAACATTATAACTTTTAAGGGAAATTGTATAAATAATTATTTTTGAATTAATCAGTATAAATATTAAATGAAATTTGTATCATTAAACTCATAATATAAAATTCTGAAAAGTTGTTGAATCAATTTATATTGTATTACATATTTTCTTTGAGCCAATTTGCTAATATTTATTGTTGTTATATTTCCTTAATAGATTATTAAATAATTAAGACAATTAAATACAATAATTTTTTAGAGAGGCTAAAATAAATAGAGTAAGTGAGAGATTCCTCTATTTATTTTTAAATTGATCAATAAATATATATAATATTATATCATGAAATAACTTTGATTCTCACTATTGATTCTATCAAAGCAATATATGGATAAAAATCTAAAGACGTATTAATTTATGTTATCTAAATCTAATTTGATGAGTATTCGAGTTATTTTATAAAGATCTATTATAGATAAATTAGAGGATTTTCATCATTATTTATATTGTCATAAGCATCGAAGAAATAATACTCCTTTAATGCTAATGATTTAATTTCTAATGAATTTTTATATTAATTAAAAACTAAACTCAGTAAAATAGCTCCTTTTTATAAAAATTATTTTAATAAAAATTAAATTAGAATTATCATTAGCATAAGGAGGGTATTATTTCTTCGATGCTTGTGAAAATTTTAATAATGATGAAAATCCTCTCCATTTATCTATGGGAAAGTATTGAACTGATTTTATCAATTATTTTAACATAAATAAGATATAAGAAGCTCTATGTTAACAATAAATTTGTACAAAATTAATCAAATATAACAAAATCACCATCACTTGGTGGCGCAATAAATTTCTTCAGTTTGTGTAAAAAATCTTTTCTTGATATCAAGTGATGGTTCTTCTTGTTATTTATTTTTGCAAAATAAATTTAATTTTGTATTTTTCTTGATTTGCAGGTTATATGTGTTCTTTTGATTAAGTTAAATACTTTGTGATTCATATGACTCTTTTAAACCTTCTTGGGATTTTTTAAGGTAACAAACCTTTTTTTTTAAATTTCTTTCTAATTTTGAAAACAATTATCTTCAAAAGCGAAATACACTAATCTCGGCTTGTTCTATTAGAATATTTTGATGAATATTCGACCAGTCATTTAGCAAAAATATCTTGTTTCTATAAATGATTACTGCTCATCACGCTTAAAATCAAAATAATTTTATTACTTAAAAGTTAATAGGTGATAAACAAACTTTAATCTTCCATTCACATTTGGAAAAAAGTCTAATTTTATCAAAACTTAATTAAGTAAGAAAATCTTATTTGATCTAAAGTCTTTTCATTTAGCATTCTTTGAATATTTTTTTTTGAATATTTCTCTTTTTTTCTCTTACTAACTATCAAATACTATTATTACATTTTACATTTGAGGAAATCCTATAAATAAAAATTTTTTTTTAAAGTTAAATCAAACATTTTTTCTTTTCATTACTCTCTTTGATATTAACTATTATTTTTAAATCCAAAAGTTCAATCTCTTAATAATTTAGATTTGATATCTAACTGAATTTAAAAGGGAAATTTTAGAATAATATTATTAATACTACTAAAGGCATTTTAGGAAGCTCTGACAACCTAGCTCCTAAATGAAGAAGAGCATATTTTCAACTCAAATTTAACAATTTTATGTCAAATATACAGAATACTTTTATAAAATATGCCCTGTATTCCCCTATACTCATATGTTAATTTGATTTAAAATACAATTATGATATAAATCTTAAATAATATGGTGTTGGATTTCGAAAAATAATGGCTTATATTATAAATATTTTGAGCTCATTAACAAAGGGTATGCACGAAATATTTAAGAAGCCTATGCCAGAGGAAGGTCTTGTTAATTTAACTTAGGATGACTTTCAGTATTTTCACCTATTTTTAGGACAATTAGGGCACTTGATACTTTATTATATCTTTTATCGACCTAAAACCCTTAGTTTTTTAGAAGATCTAAACAAGACCTTAAGTAAAAAAAGAATGTAAAAATTCACAAGAATTCAAAAATAAAATGGATTGAACTTGAAAATTTTTCAAGCGTAAACATTCAAAATAGATCAATATCTGTCTTCATTAAATAAAGCTCCAGAAGGTATATCAAATGTCAGAATCTCATTTACGTTGCTGAGATTTTTTTGGATTTAATTCCATTCATAGTGAATAAGGGTAGTAAGTGATAAGAAATAAAATAATCTAATTTTAATTTTTAATTATTTGTATGTGTATGAAAATCATTGATATTCTATAATGTTCTTGTTAATATTCAATTTTAAATTGTCTTTTATTAAAATTTTAATTAGCTTTCCAAAATACAACCTCCTCTTTATATAAATAATTTCTGTAAATTTTGGCCCAAAGAAGTAATAAATTATCCTTAAAAAAGTAATGCTCCTTTTGCTAATAAATATGGATATTAGGATATAATCAGAATAGGAAAATTAGTGTTAACTAAATAATATTAAAAATAAATACAACATTATTAAAAAAGATTGCTTTAAATAAGGGGTTGTTTAAATTATGCCAGATATTTTTATAAATTTTAGCTGTGGGTTGAATACCTTCTCTTGTCTGGAGATCCCATAAATGGATAGAGTTATCGTCACTAGAAGAAGCTAATCTAGTACCATCAGGAAAGAAGCATACTGAAAGGATTCCATTACTATGGCCATCTATCCTGTCTTAACATCCCATAAACGGATAGACCTATCATTACTACCAGAAGCTAATATAGTACCATCATGTGAGTAACATACTGATAGGTTTCCAATACTATGACCATCTAATTTGACTTTTTATTATCCTGTTTTAACATCCCATAAACAGATTGACTTGTCGTAACTGCCAGATGCTAATTTCGTACCATAAGGAGAGAAGCATACTGAAAGGATTCCATTATTATGACCATTTAATTTGGCTTTTTATTAACCTGACTTATCATAACTACCAGAGGCTAATGTAGAGCCATCTGGAGAGAAGCATACTAATAGGACATAATGAGTATGACCATCCAATTTGGCATTTTATTATCCAGTCTTCACATCCCATAAAATGATAGACTTATCATCACTACCAGATACTAATGTAGTACCATCAAGAAAGCTTACTGAATAAACAGAACTAGTATGACCATCAAATTTGGCTTTTTATTATCCTGTCTTAACATCCCATAAATGGATAGAGTTATCTGCACTACCAGATGCTAATATAGTACCATCTGGAGAGAAGCATACTGATTTGACATAATCAGTATGACCATCCAATTTATAGAGCTCATGGAATTTTAAGTTCTTCCATTTGCAATAGAGTAATTAAGCTCCATTCAAATTCATACCGCTTATATCTACATTTTCAAATTCAGATCCACTCAAATTGCATCTGACAAAATTAATTCCAACTAAGGAAGTGTTTTTAATCTTTATATTTTCAAAAGATTCATTCTTTAGATCAATCCTAATTTTTCCTAATAAGTGTAGTGAATTAGAACCACATTATATGAATTTATTATATACAGCTGTGAGGTGAACTAGGAATCGTAAAAAAATGATAATCTTCTTTTCTTAAGATATCTGTTTAATTAGATCTTCTCTTTTTCAAAATAGATTTCTGAGGAATAGTCACTTTTATTAAAGTCATGATTTTTAATTTAGTTGAGAATATTACTGATTATCTTAATGTTATTTCTTACAAAAATTAGCTTCTATTCCTTATCTTCAATAGATAAATTGTCTATTTGTAAAATGTATTATTCGTCATTCTTTTGATTCTCAATAATTAAAAGATATCCTAGACAATCTGAAATTTTTTCTTTTCTAAACATTTCAATTATCACTCTGAATATTTATTCATCAACATCTTTAAGGTAAGCGAAAATCTCATATAGATCTTCTTTCTCTTCATAAGTGCAATACATCTTCTTCTTTTTTTTTTAATATTGAATTTCTTCTACTTTTTTTTCAGTCTTAAACTATAAAACAAAAAGTATCTAAAAAGTTATGCTAAAAAATAGAATAGACTTTGCAAAGATTTGGAGTTAATTGTAATTGAGGTGAATTGTCTAAAGTGAGATCAATCCATCATTTTTATAGCTTGATACTTAAAGAATATGGAATAAATCACCATACTTTGAAAATTGAAATTATACATAATTACTTAATTTGATTTTAGAGATAAATTCTTTACCATCCATTAAGGATAATTTTTTTTTTCAATTCAGATACAGTCTTTAAATACTTTTAATTTTGATCTAAATATTTATTGATGTTTCTTATTAAAGGGATGAAATCAAAAATTAGATTTGTATTGGATACAACTCCTTTGATTGGAATATAGATCATCAAGAAAAAACCACTTATTATTTTATTTAATAATCACCTTTATTATTCGAATTGATTTAGAGACAGAATATTCATAAGAATAATATTAAGCTAAGTGATTAAGGGATCAGAAATTTTGATGAAATGGGATTTTCCTTTGTTTTGAAAATATTTCCTAAAGGAATTTTAATAATTTGAGAAAAATATTTTGGAAAAAAATAATAATAGAATTCATTTTTACACATTTCATCAGAAACTTATACATAAAATTTCTAATTCAATGGAATCTAGTTGCTTGCAACAGTATGAATTTTCAATTGTACAAAATGATAATACTCAAAGAGATTTATCTACCTGTTCCTATGCGATTTTCAAAGCTTCTAATGATCTTCCTATTGGGATTAAACTACGAAATATAATGTAGTAATTTCAATGTAAATCATGATAATGTGTAATCTTTTAAAATGTATTTTACTATTAATGTTATTTTCATTATCATATTTCATTTCATTAAATCCTTATTCTTTTCTAAGCCCATGAACACAAAACTTTTTATCCTATTTATACTCACCATAATAAGTAATTTTTTTCTAATTCAACAAACGATTCCCAAAATTATCAGTTAATTCAATCCATTTATCCACCTTAATTCCATTGATAATTAAACAAAAGCATTTACAATCAAGCAGGTTTCCCAGCTACTAACTTTTTTACTATTTTGATATCAGCCATTATATGTAAGTTATAAATAATCCCAAAATTCATCACCGAATTCAATCCATCTACCATTCTTGTAATATTCTCCACCTCCACTTAATTTAAAATAAATAAACTCTATATTTTTTTTCATTTTAGTAGATCTAACTACTTCTATTTTTATTTATTAAAGCCATCTACTTAATCCACTACTTCAAAGACCTAAACTACTCTTACAATACTAATTTTCCTTATTTCTTACCTTCATTATAATATAGTTGATTTAAGCTATAGATTATTATTTATTTAATTAGTATTAAATTT